ATTTTTTTTTCCCAATGTTGCCCCCACCGCGTGGAAAAAAAAAAACTTCCTCTTTTTTGGCTTCTTGAATTAGAAAGGGGGGGGTAAGGGGGGGGGGGGAAACGTTAGGAAACAAAACTTCCAGAACACGGCCACACAGCCCGGAAGACCCACACCAGCCATTAGTTCTGTGTTAAGCACAGCCAAGAGAAGCTTTTGATAAAAACATGCTACTTTTATTTTATGATTTTTGCCCTTGATAAATTGCTTTCAGGTACCTTGTTCTAATATTTATGTTAAATTGGTCTGTGACCATACAGCAAACAAACAAACAAATTGTACTGATATATTTAAAAAAAAGAGATGCAGGAAATTGTGTTCCTGTTGCTCTAATACACTACCTGCATTGACTATCCTGTCCAAATCCTCTCTTTGATTGACTTTTTCCTTAGGTCTAGTCTCAGCATAATGACTTCCCTGAATAAAAATGGAATCCAGGGTTTTAAGCCATAATGCCAGGGAAGGGTGGTTCCATTAGTTTTGGGACTTAAACCTGCACCCTAAACTTTTGTCTTTGTAAATTACACCCTGAGACAAGAATGAGCTGTGGCTTATTTTGTGAAGGGCTATCTCTGTCCCTTTTTTCTTTTTGATTGTGCAAGGAAGCAGCCTAGAGGGACAGATTGTCTGCATGATTATTTTCTGAGACTAGATGATTTTCTTCCTTCTGAGTTTACTGTAGGCCAATACTGAATGAAATTTGATTTGCCTTGTGCTTGATTAGCTTCTGTAGTGGGAACTGATGTAAGCAGACTCTGCATTGGTACTGTTCAAGATACAGAATCTTTAAAACATCAAATAGTCTCTTTTACCATGCCATAAGAAGTTTGGAGACAAAAACAATCAATTGGTCAGATAATTGATCATTCAGGTTGCCAATGTGGGCTGAGCCTGGGCAACCCTTAGGACTCGTTCTCTTTCTGTATTCTGTATTTTGGTTGGCACAAACAATGATACCGTAACAGGCAGGGCAGTAAGGGATGGAGCCATAGCTCCCTCCATAGCTCAAGAGAGGACCTGTTTTGCAGGGAGAAGATTCTAAGTTCAATTCCTGACACTGACAGTGAAAATGATCTTTAGGAACAGGTGTTGGTTAATGGCCCTTGGGCAGAGATGCTGCCATTTCTTGGCTGAGCTAGATTAACAACAAGTAGCCTGACCGGACATAAACATCTTATGTTTCTGTGAGTTGCAGCTGGATTTTAAGTTTCTTAAATCCAAATGAGTAAACCTACAAATAAGCATGTGCTAGTTTATTATGCTGGGAATATGCAATTATTTCCCATATTATAACATGTATTATATCTTAATTAGCACAGCAAGACGAAGATTACTATTATAGCCAAACTCTGCTTGTCTGTCTGTTTGTCAGTCAGTCAGATTTAGATCCTACTTTTCCTCCATGAGCTCAAAGCTTTTTACAGGGGGATCTCCCTCAATGTTATGCCTAAACCAGCAACCCTTGGAGGTGGGCTGAGAGAATGTAGGCCAGTCCAAAGTAATCCAGTAAATTTCCATGGCTGAGGGTGGATTTGAACTTGGATCTTCCTACCCTTGGTATGCCACCTTATCATTACATCATACCAACTCTTGGTATTGTGGTCACTGAGAGCAATTGCACATTTTCATACTTCAGTTGAGTATATTTAGCTCCTTTTTTCATTCTTCTCCTTTATATCCATTGTTTAGGAATGTATTTATCATCTGCTAATTGATAATAAACTGTAATGCATCTAACAAAGGGGACTCTAGTTTTGATGCTCATTCACTATAAAATTTGGAGTCTCTAATATTCTACAAGAATTATTTCTGGTTTTTGTCTTTCTCCTGAAGATTGAAATATTTTTCTATAGGACCTCTGCACATATACGCTTCCAAAACAGTGGGATCAACAACTTCGCTACATCTGAACACCAGGTAGGGTGGAGCGACCCTAAGAAACAGGGCAATTATTCCAAGGTTCAGATTTAAATTGTCTTGTTACCTATTTAATTTGAAATGTTACCATTTCATAAACCTACATGCTCAGCATGTAACAAAATATTGCAGCAATTGCTTTCATGGGAATATGTTTGCATCATAGGCATAAAATGGTTTAATTGTTGTTTATTTTGCCCATGGACAAACACATGAACTGTTTACACAGTTGTAGAACAGGAACTTGATTCACTGGACTGGACTGGTTGCTACAGGCCTTCTGGAGTCATTTTTTGCTGTGTTACAAGTAGTACCAATTCATAAAATCAAATGGCTCGCAAAGGGTCTTGACTAAGCATGGGTGCTAGCAAAAATTAATCATATGAAGCATGTCATTCAAACTATTTTATTCAAGGCTAAATTTGGACACCCAAGTGACAAATTGGCTCTGTTTTTTGCCCAGCTAAATGCAGTCGGTCTGCCTGTGGATCACTCAGCAACCTGAAAGAGAAATCAATGTTTCCTGAGTTTGACCACAACTTTGGGTGGAACTGACTCTTCACCATGTGCTTGTATTAGGAGAGTTAGAAAATACTTTTATCATGCAGCAGCTTTTACTGGCTGACTGTGCTTTTATATTTAGTAAGTAACATGAGCCCATCTTTGTCTATCTTGTTATATAAAGAACAATAAAGCCATTTCTCTCTGCTGCTCATGAATCAACACGGGTGTGATGAGAAGAAGCTCATCCCAAATAAACATGGTTTGTTTATTTCAGACAAAAACCTGCAGTGCAATGAAAAAAGAGGCTTCCCCTTGATCATACAAGTCAGATAGGATGTTGAAAACATGCCACTTCTCTAATTAGTGGAACATTGTGCCACTAGTTTTTTTAGATTTTTATTTACTAGGCTTATATGTCACTCCAGCCAACAACTGATTCTGAGTGGATGACAATCCTACCATAAGTAAACAAAATTAAAATATCAAAAATAGCCCAAAATAATAATAATAAAATAGTACATAATACACTATTCCTACGCTAAGGAATCATAAACCTGTAGAATCATATAGAAGGAATTCCTCTCGAATCATCTCCCCCTCAAAGGCCTTTTAAAAGAATCAGGTTTTAATTGGTTCTATAAATCCTAATAATGTTGGGGCAAGTCAACATGTCTGGAAGGCATCTGTAAGAAGAACAAAAGAAGTAGTAAATCAGTGCTTAGCAAGAAGATTATCAGAACCCCCTGCATGGTTTCAACTTCCAGGAAGTATAATTTTCCTTTGGAGACAAAGTACTAACTACAAGTGAGCCTTCTTCTGCTTGTAGATTGCTGATGTAATAAACACTCCCTATACGTCTGGGCACGGCTTCATAATGTATTACATATCTTTCTTCCAATTTTATTCTGGTGAGGAAGCTCATGTGTAATAAAGGTAAGATGGAATCTTGCCTCTGGATCACAATGCAATTCTTGCTATTATTCTCCATTCCTATATCTTGTCCTATATCATAGTCTCATTCTGGGAACTCAGTCCTGTTTGGCCACAAGGCGTCAGAGTGGCTTCAGAAATGAAAAGGTGGGGAAAACCGACTGGACTTGTGTGGGTGTCATACTGAAGAGGTTAATCCCATAGTTTTCACCAAGTTTTCACTGTCACCCCAGGAGCACATTGTAAACTAAGTCTACCAGAGTCCTTGGCAAATCGTTTATTCAAGCCATGAGTTCCTTCCAGCAGAGAGCTATCTCAGTTTTGTTCCCATAGCAGTGTTTACAGCAAATACTCTCAGCCAGGCTGTGAAAGATGCAAAAAAGAGTGTTGGCAATATTTGTGCAACTTGTGTTGCCAGCACAACATAACTCTATCATGGAAGATTTTTTTTACAAGGAAATGTGATTGAAGTGGTGCTGTTAGATAAGGTATTTGCCCAAATATGGATATGAACATGTTTTTTGACATTTGAACTTGTGCGTCTTTGGCAATTGCTATCTAAATACTAAAATATGATCTGCATAGTTAGCATGTCCCTTGGAATAAGGGTACAGATCTAACCATTCCTAATAGACATTAAGTTCCACTGAATCCAGTGGGAGTCTACGCTGGAGGGAGGTGGAATGAAGGGTTAGTCTCAGCCACAACATGCTTTTTTCTCACACTTCCTAGAATATGTTTCAAAATCCCCACATATCCTGGTTTTTTAACAGTTGATATGTAAGCTGAAATATTAAATTAAAATATTGTGACAGCCTAATTTTGCACCTATTCAGGCCTCATCCTGAGGACCAGCAAAGCCCTCTTTGCTTTATCTAGGATGGGTAAGATGCAGTTGTCTCATATTCAACGTCATTATGACTGATAAAATCTCGATATTCCTCCAGACATTCCCTATTTCTGTAGAAATGATTGCCTTTCAAGAATGGAGAGAGTCCCAGGGCTTCTGTGGGACTAAGACCATACCAAAGAGAGTACAGAAATGAAGTACAGTGAAGTCAGGTTCCAGACATTCGCCCAACTTTCTGCACTATATCATCCCTAATCCTAGACGGGGGGAAAAAAAGCAGTAGAGCCTGGTTTCCTGCTTTTATTTATTTAGACTTTGTTTCCCTTTTACTGAAACTCAAAACAGCTCTTGCATTAAATAACAGAAAGGAAGTAAATGGCAATTCTGCTCTAAACGGGGACATTTCATATACTTCTGTAGCTCTGTCAATCCTCTTAAGAATATGGTTTCTTTTTAAGGTTTTCTGGCAGCTTCTCTTGCTTTTTGTATAAGTGTTCTTTGAATCCCTGTAGGCAATCTTTCAAATTTCCTCTGAATGTCTCTTGTTTATCAGAAGTGACAAAAGGCTATGGAAACTGTCTATTATTAATAACTCTGGAATATTCTCCCATACAGCTAATGCCTCAAGAGACCAATTCACAGGCCAAGAAGTCTCTTACAGCCAGCTCACTAGACATCACTTTCCCCCTAAAGGGGAAAAATAGTTGTTTCCTATGATTCTCTTAAATATAGAGCAGAACTGCTGAGAGGCTGCTAGAAGCAATCTCTCTTTACCTTGTCCTGGCTCCATCTGGCCCTTCTGAGAAGTAGGGGCTATGATTGAAAGAGGCACCTGCTGGTTTCCTGATAAAAATAGGAGCGTTTAGTTATCTATCACAGAATGGAGGGTGTTTGTATCAACAGAGTAGTAAACAATGAGAGAAATGCTGCAGACAGGCATAGCGATAGGAGTGGGGATCAAGATACTGGCAGAAGAAGCCAGGGGAAAGAAGAGACGAAGAAAGTGAGCTACTCCCAGGGAAAGACCAGCCATTAGGTAGGTGAAGTCTGATTTCTTTCCCAGTGGTCCCCGGTGGGCTTTGGGCTCACTAAAGAACTGTTCCTAGGTGTGGCTCCAGGTAAGTGTTTATTCCCAAGGTATAAGGGGGTGGCCAATTGATGGCTCCTGAACCACGTTCAGGTCCCAGGGAGCTCAAGTAGAATTCCTGAACTCTGGTAAGAGAAATAGAGGTGGGAGGAAAACCTCACAGTGAAGTTATACTTAGAATATACCATGTTCTCCTATCTCCCAAGAAAATTTAGGAGACATAAGAAGAATGCTTATGTAGGGGAGTCAACCCTGATCAGCTATTCTTTAAAGTATCCCCTGAAGAACACTGAAAGCTAGAAAAGAAGAGAGGTAATGAAGTGTGTGATGCTAAAAGTTCTTCAGAAGAGCAAGGTTGGCCCACATCTCACTGTGGCAAGTAATGGCCAGGAATAGAGCCTTCTCATTGGTGGCACACTGGATGGGGAATTATTTCCTTAAAAAGGCACAACTAGCATTTATGCTGATGTGATTTCAGCACCAGGCACAGAGCTTTTGATTTCACCGGCTCTTTAAACCAAATATATATTATCCAATCTATTTTATCCCTGTTTATTTTCATACTGCTTTTCGTTTTAACTGCTGATTACTTTTATATTGCCCTTTTATATGTTTTATGCAATCCTTGTTCATACTTTCTTAAAAAGTGTTTTTACTATACATTTGAGGTTATTTTGGAATATTGAGCCTACATGTTCATTGAGGGCTAAGTTAGGCAACCCTTCTCCCAAATTAAAAATAAATGTGTTGTCTCTATTTCATTGAACCTATAACTTCCTGGTAGATTTTCAGCCGGTAAAATTGTTATTGGCAAAGCTGTATTTTGGAAGGTACACCACTTGAATTTCTGTTTATTGTGTAATGGTCAAAGGCCAAGAATCTGAATCCATTTTACAACGGTGACAACTCTGGGAAAATAGCAAATGCTCTATGATGGAGCTCTCAAGGAGCTTTGGTATGTATCTTTGATTTAAACATATTATTCTTAAAGCTCTAAATCATTTTAAATTTAAAATGCATGCAAATCAGCAAGGCATAGAATTTCTGCTACCCCTTTCTCTTTTTGGGGGGAGAGAAATAAGATACCAAAGTTGGTACAAATCTCATACAAATCAATTTCAGGAAAGTTACACAGGGCTACAGCCTGTAGGATCTGCCCATAGCTGCAGACTTCAGTCAGTTTGGTTTCAAGGAGTTTATGGCATTTCTGCATATTCAAAGACTGAAAAAGCATCAGCTGGCCTTGAGAGGGAAAAATTAAGGCAGGTGGTAATACTCAATCATCCCAGAGTTCACCACAATATCCAGCATCTAGCTCAAATAATGCCCCATATTCTGTGTGACTGGTACTTAACAGGTTTTAAGGATTTCTTTTTTCAATTAAATGTTGTTTTTAATCAAATTGCTTCTATCACTCAGTGAACGAACTTATAGCTACAACAGAGAAGTGACATTTGCATAATTATCACAGCAGATATACTCTGATACTTCCTTTGAATCGGATTCAATTCTTGGTGACCTCACGGAGGCCTCCGTGTAGTTTTTTATCAACAGTACAAGCATGATTTGCCATTGCCCTCCCAGGATGTTTTCTCAACTTCCCAGTCTAGGCTACAGCCCTGACTTTTCCCATCCTGATCTAATGAGCCCCATCTCTGTTTAGCTTTCTTAAATGAACTGAGGCCAGCTAGGTGCTACCTCTTAGCTGAACTAAAAACTCTATTTCTCCTAGATATGTTAGGGATATTCTCATACCTGAGTAGAGTCCTGTACCGAAGGGGCACCTAAGGATTTCTACAGATGCTGTAGTGTGAGGATTTACCATGCCACTGAATTATGATTACGCCACTGGAAATCCAAGGCGGAAATGTGGGGATGAAAGAGAAGATCATTAGCACAGTTCAGAAGGAATGACCCCTGAGTGGGGATTGACCGAAAACAGAGTGAAAAAAAATGTGCTTAGGACTAGTCAATGGACATATACAGTTGCCTGTCAATAATTGTTTGGATGATTTCATAGCATTCCCATCTTTAGACAAATTACACCCAGTTATCATTGTTCAGTGAGGGCCCGTTCTTCTCATTCTCTCTCTCGCTTTTTCAGGAAACAGTTTTCTTTCCTGGAAACAACAGGAAGCTTCCTTTACGATTCATACATGTATTGAGCAAACAGGATAGCAGAAGCATGAACATAAAGAAGAGAAAAACGGTGTGGGTTTTTTAATGGAAAGAGCAGTTTTACTGACAGTCCGATCCTATGTGTGTACTAATTAAAAACAAACAAACCCACTGCTTTCCATAGGATTTATTCCCAGGCAAGTGGATGTGGGACTGGAGCCCACAGAAGAATGGCAGGGTACCAAGTGAAAAGAGCTAAGAGCGTTCTGGGCATCCTGACCTCTCGACTGTATTTGCAAATGTCAGGAGAGTATTTTTAGCAGGTGTTACGGCAGCTCACCTGCCCCCTCTCCCCACAACTGCCTCTTGCACTTTCTGCATCTGAGTCACTGGCTGTTCCTGGACTTTGTTGGCAGGTTTTATTTAAAGATGATTTACTAAGTGATAAAAGAGGAGGAGGCGAGGAGTTCCCCAGCCTCAGAGGATCTATCTTGTGCTTCAGATAATTTGCTCCTTTGAAGGGTTCTCAGACAGGACCAGTCCTTACCATTAGGCAGAGAGAGGCAAGAATAGCAACTTTTAAAACTTCTTTGAATTATGGCTGTTGTGTTTTTACTGCCATAGGAGCAGGGGATTGTTCTTGGGATTGCTGCCTTACATGCCAAGAGAATTTGTATTTACTGTATTTACTTGGGATATCACCACGTATCTGTGCTGGGGATGGGAAATCTTTGCTAATCTGTCATAGACAGAAAAATGTACTGGACTAACCCTGATAGAGGTTGATGAGTTTAGCTGCATGCATAGTTCTGCCTGTTAACTCTGAAAGAAGGCTGGATTAAACCACATGTTACCAGGCTCTGTGTTAAGCCACGTTTTGTGACCTCACATATTCCTGACTGTAGGTCATGCTGTTTCCTTTGTTCAGAAGCACAGGGGGATGCAGGCTAATGCAACCCCACTTGCACTAGAATGTCTGATAAAGGAAGTTACCCAGCTGCTATTCTGAAAACTTTAATACAGTTCCAATGGCTTGTATTAAACACATGATCAAATTGTTCTGAGATGCAGAAGAAGTGCAGAGAACAGCAAGGTGTTCTTACTGCTTTGGGTGTGATTACTATAAAAGGTGATTTCCAGCACAGCAAGACCTCCAGTTTGGCAGCAATTCTGCTTAGAATTTTCTTAGCTTTTAAGAGCATGTCATGTATCTAGAAGAAAGGTTTTGTAAAACCAACCTCTCCCCCTACACTCCTTCTCCTTCTCCTTCCCCTTCTCCTTCTCCTTCAGAGATGGAGTCTTCAGTAGATCTCAAGGAATGAAATGTATTCAGTGCAGTTGACACATGCATGCCCATCCACTGATGACTTCTCTGGGTGAATAGTCCCTTATCACACTAAATGTCCCCAGCTTTTCAACAGAGTCAGATCACACATTTAACTGCAAATTAGAGATGCCAAGGATTGCCCAAGCAGTTGGGACAAATTAACAGTTACACTATATGAATTGGTGTGAAAAAGTGGAAACCTTTAACACTGAGGTTTCACTTTTATTCTTTCACTGTATATATTTCCAGAAGTGGAGCTTGTAGAGGCCACCTACTTTGCACTCCATTGAAAAAGCAGAGCAACTTGGTACTATGGAGGCTGGAAACACCAAAGAAGAAGAGAAGAACCAGCAGATCAATGGGCTACAGCAGAAGTCAGGAATGACTCAGACTGCATCTGAAGGGGAGAGTGAGGCAGGAAAAGCAGAAATTGCTGCGAAAGAAGCTAAGGAGGACAGAAAGGTCACAGAAAAAACTGAGAAAGAGGTGGATGAAGCAGAGAAAGCAAAGGTGGCTGCTGGGAATAAGGTGCATGGAGAGAAGGAGGCTGGGAAAACTGAGGCTGCTGGGATTGAGGCAAAGGGGAAGGAAGAGACCACAGAGATGGCTTCAGAACCTGAAAAGGGGCAGATGTCCAAGGCAAGCCAGAAGGAGAAGGTAGACAAAGGCAACAGCCAACCAGAAATTGAGGGTGTATCTGGAACAGAAGACGATATTTCTGGAAAACCAGAAGACCTACATGAAGAGGAAGGGGAAAAAACTGATGTTTTGAAAAAAAATGCCAAGGAACAGGTAAGAATAGAATGCATTTCAAATTGTAATAATCTACTTCTTTTCTTTTAAGAGTACTGTATTATCTCCTGATACTTCCCTTCTGTCAAACATCAAGGACAATTTTATCCTTCCTGCCCTTACATTTTTATGCCACGTTCTTTTAGTCTAGGCAGCTTCATGTTGGTGGGCAAATTGACAAAACACACTTATCTGGACTTCTGTTATATATGTCTTGTCACTGATTTTAATTTGTCCACCTTTAGCTACTACGCCAGCTTCTTTTTCCTGTATACAATATGCAAGTACAAAACTCATTGTAAGACAAGTTTTATTATACTATTATTCAACCATTCACAAAGAATTTTAAAGAATTGTTAAATAACAGCACATTTATATGGTACCTTGCCCAGTTTTTCTCGCCATTGTTTCTATTTTTCTAACCATAATAAATCTGGTAAAGACAGAAAGAGCAGAGAAGCAGTGTTATTCTGCCATAGGTCCTCATAAAAAACTACAATTGAAGAAACTTTTCCTTGGGAAGTTGGTTGATAGAAAAAAAGATTCCTCCTTTTTTTATGGCCTGGGTAGATAGATGATCCATCATATACATAGTATTCCCAGCCACTGTTGTACAGCTCCTAAAGTTCTTGATTTTGTGCCACTGAAATTGGGTAGCAAATCATCAAAGAACAAAGGCTTGTGAAATAAGAAAACATAGGTCAATGAAGGCTATCTAACCTTCAAAGCCAAATGTCCCCATTGAAAGAATGTCACAACTTCTTCCTCCACTTTCTCCAGAATTATTTTAGTGTCATTACCATTCCCTTGTGGATCTCAGATGAAGGAAGGAAGGAAGGAAGGAAGGAAGGAAGGAAGGAAGGAAG